ACATGTTAACTCAATTCTATGGTGAGGAAACTTTTCATAGATGAAGGTTGACATGGTTGATAAATATATCCCCACATTGTTGACCTTCGGCAGTGATGCTAACATGCCTGCCTTCACAGAAACCCCCACTATGACTGCGACATTGTCCTTGCGCTGTTGCTTCTCAGTCTCGATCACACACTATATACAATGTATACACTCGACTGCTGAAGGCAACACAGGAGCGACCACGACCCACCGTGAACTTAATACAGCTCTCCCGGCTGCACACAAAAAATAGCAATGAATGAACTAGTGGTATATGTTCATTGAATTCTATCACAGATTTAATTTTGGTGGGGAAGTACTGAAGTGTATCTGCCACTACAAAAATATAATTCCAATTCACTGGTATATTAAGACATGTTAACTCAATTCTACGGTGAGGTACCCTTTCATAGATGAAGGTTGACATTGTCGATAACTACTCGCTATCCCCAAAAAGTATTTTGAAATGAACTTTACAGAAAAAGAAATATTGATTAACCTAAAATTTTCCTAATCAAGAAAATATACTAATATTTTTTGATGAAATTGTACTAATACAATTATGCAATCAGAATTTTTCGATTGTTATTTCAGTGTATTATACATTTGTCTACTTTTAGATTTTTGATAAATATCTTTTGCTACACAAATTTCGTCCAAAGATTTGTTAGCGTCATCCACATCAGTATTCATTAGTTTAAACTTTAACAAAATTAAATTTTGATGAAAAATTAAAAATAAGCAATTATTTAGTTTTAAAAAACTGAAGTAAAACTTGCTTGACATTTTTCAGAAAATATATATTTTATCATTTAATCTATTTCATCTTTAATTCTTTCTGAAAGGTTTAGTGCTTTCACAAGAGATTCTCAAAAGTACAAAAAAAAATTAGAGAGAAAACTAAAATCAAATATTTAAGTTAAAATCTAATATAAGAGTAAAGGTCTCATAAAAGCATGGTATAGTAGAACATTTATTCATAAAAGCAAAACTTTAAGTAAATTAGATTAATAAGTTGTTTTTCAAACAGTTTCCATTCATTCTAAGACTCGTGTCCTCGACGTTTCATTTTCCGCTTCTTCCACTAAGTTCTTCATTTACTTATTAAGCTACAAATTATGACAGTTAAAATTTATAATTCATCTAAATATTCTTGTCCACTGTCTAAGGTTTTATCATGTTAGTAATGTTTAATATTTTTCTCTTTTAGCTTTATCCTTATCATTTATTAGTTACTGGTAATTATCGATTACCTCCAGATGTAGATCGATGCCATTTAGAAGTAAATGCACATTTATTTTATTTTATTACTGGCATTGTATGTTAACTAAAAAAATCATGAATGTTTTCTTTACTTATTTTTCAGCGTCATCTTTCAAATGAAGAATTTCACGCTATATTTCACATGACCCGCTTAGAGTTCTATCGCCTGCCAGAGTGGAGAAGAAACGATCTAAAGAAAAGAGCTAAGATGTTTTAGAAAAACAATGTCTATGAATGCTATCTTTATTTAAAAAAAAAAA